GGGATGACTCGTGTGAGAGTGAATTCCAAGAGTTGGAGAAGAAGCTTACTTCAATTTTGATTTTGATAGTTCCAGAGAGAGGACAGAGGTACATAGTATATTGTGATGCCTCCAAGGATAAACTTGGTTGTATTTTGATATAGCCCAGGAGGATGGTAGCTTATGGTTCTCAACAGTTGAAGAGCTACAAGTAGAACTACCCTACGTATGACATGGAGTTGGCGACTGTCGTATTTACCTTGAAGGCATGGCGCTACTATTTGTATGGAGAGTAGTTTGATGTGTTTTCAGACCATAAGAATCTGAAATACAGGTTCACTTAGTGGGACCTCAATATGAGGTAGCATAGGTAGATGGAGTATTTGGAGGATTATGACTTTATTTTGTATTACTATCGCAGTAAAGCAAATTTGGTGGCTGATGCACTTAGTCAAAAGTCACGGGGATTCTTGGATAGTGTAGCTTCTCGAGAGTAGCAGATGCTCGAGACTGTGGGACAGTTCGGGTTGTACTATAAAGGTCAGGCTCAAGACACTTTGGGGAGTTTGGTGGCTACGTCTTCCCTACTAAGCAGAGTGATTGAGTCCCAGGGACAAGACATGGAGATATTGTCTATCAAGGATCGGGTACAATAGGATATAGGTGACGAGGGCTGGGCCATTCACTCATATGACAGTCTTTGGTTTAGGGGAAGGGTTGTGGTTCCCTAGTCTACGGATCTAAGAGAGGAGATCCTTAGGGAATTCGATTACTACCATTTTCCTATACATCCAAGTGGCATGAAGATGCACTATGATCTTCATCACCAGTACTATTAAAGTGGGATAAAAAGGCACGACGAGAATTTTGTTAGTCGATGTCTCACGTGTCAGCAGGTTAAGGCTAAGCACCAATGACTAGCAAGATTGCTCTAGCCTTTGGAGGTGACTGAGTGGAAGTAAAAGCATGTCACGATGAATTTTTTGTCCCACTTAAAACGGATATCATTGGGGTATGACACGGTGTGGGTGATAGTAGATCAGCTTATAAAATTGGTACACTTTTTGGCAGTGCGGAAGACCTTTACATTGGAGGAATACTACAGGCTGTACATACAAGACATAGTCCGGTTACATGAAGTACCCGTATCTATAGTATCGGACAAGGATCTCACGTTCAAGGTCAATTTTTGGGAGAGTTTCCAGTGGACTATGGAGACACAGTTGATGATGAACACATCTTTTCATCCCTAGACGGACAGTCAGTCAAAGAGGACCATGGGAGCTGGTGAAGGCTCAGGTTGCATTGCGTGTGTGAGTCTCACCTTATAATATAACATGGCATTATGACATTCATTCTTGAAGTTTGTATGTTATTGGATGAATGCTTGTTTGATTGTTAAATTGCATGTGAGCATTTCACATGCATTTAGGTTAGGGAGTAGCATCTTTAAAAAATACTCTATTAAGCATGACTCATCCTTTATGGGGAGAACATTTCAGGTGCGGGACAAGCGTCAGTGGATGACTCTCACATGGGCCCTCATTGATGAAGAAAGCCGAGTTGTGGCTTTGAATTAGATTTTTGTAAAACAAGTGTCTAATTAGTTTTTGGACATGTAATCTTGTGTAAAGGATTGTAAAATGAACTCATATGAACTACATTTTGTTTAAAATTATATGTTATATGAATTTGGGTGGTTGTTATATGAGATTGGATGAGTTAGAATTGAAAAAAGGATTGAATTAGGGGCAAACTAGGCTCTTCTATTAGTAGTACATTGATTATCTGCCAGTAGAAAAATTCTAGAAAGCTTTTCTACCAGTAGAATGTTGATTATCTATTGGTAGAAAGATTCCAAAGAGCTCAACGTTGATTATCTACCGGTAAGGCCTCTTAAATTTTCACAAATCTAAAATAATTTTGTCAAACCTTCGGGTCTTGAGTCCTTTTGTTCAAAGGATGTAAATGGAGTAATATTAAGGATAGATTGATATATATTGGACCTTAGAATGGTCAAGTGATTGAAATGTACACAGGTTATGTGTTTGGGAGTACCCTGTACAAGGGAGAATCTGCCCAAACTATGTGTTGTTTATGATCCCGGTGAAAGAGATGTTATGTCATGGTGTCGGGTTATGCGACATTTACAGGTACTTTTGTGGGTTGATGGGTGATTAACGGGTTGACAAAAGACCCCTGATTTTAGGGGCGTCACACTTCCAACTTAATTGAGACAATGAGTCTCTCAAAATCGTCCCTAGTCTCCCAAACTTGCTTTCTCTTCTAAAAACTCGGGTTTGGTCAAGGAATGGGTGGAGGGGTAACTCTCTTTAGTTTGAAAGCGTGTAGATTAATTTTGATCTTGGGAGTAGAAGGAGTTTTGTGCACTCTAGCATTTGAGCCTTTAGAAGATGATGCATGGATATACTTAGACTCAGTTGACCTTTACGAAAGCTTAGAAAAATTCATGACTTGCTTATTTAAAGCTTTAGATTGGTTGACTAGATGTATAAGCTTTTTGTCCGAGACTTCCTTACTATGCATGCAATGCGTGTTATAATGATCATTCTCTTCACATATATAGCACACTAGATTTTTGGTTTGAGTTGTCTTTTTAATTGGCTTCTTTGATTGCACACCCATATCATTTTTACCCTTTGGTGAACTTATGTTTACACGTAGGGGTGATGGGTTGAGATTACCCTTGACAAACATGGTCTTGGATGGAGTGGAGGTGGTGTTGTCATTAGTGTAGATCAGACCTCTTTTGTCACCAACACTCTTCCCTATAGACAATATTTTATTCAATTTTCCTATGCTAAGGGGAAGTCTCTTTTTAGAGTTCTTGCAATTCGTAAAGGTCTCTATCAAGTTTGATAAGTTTAATCTCTAGACTTTTCTTCGACTCTAAAAGCCCATTGTGCTCATTCTCAAGAAAGCTGACTTTGTCTAGAAGAGACTTTCTTCTCTTCCTCAAGCCCACAAATATGAGCTTTGGACATCACTAAGTCTATGTAAAGTGCTTTCTTGTCATCTTCACTTTATTTTTAGCCTCGCGCTCAATGAAAACATCTTCTTCTTTTGTTTGAGGCATTTTTCATATAATTGGTTATATGCATCTTGAAGGTTCTCAATATTTTTAGTCTCATCATCACTAGTAGAGACTTCAACATCTAAGTCATCTACTTCCATGGTAGGACTTGACTCAACTTCAACTCTATAAGTTTTTTCTCGGGAGAGGGAGGCATACGAACCAACAAAGGCTATAAAATTCTCTTCATCCTCTTGAGAAAATGAGTCATCATTTGAAGAGAACTCACTTTCACACTCGCTCAACCTACCCTTCTTGGCTCTCCTCCTTTCTTTGGGAATGTCCTTCTTCTTTGCACTAGGATATTCCACAGCCACATGTCCAAAACTTTGACATCTCTAGGGTTGGAGTTCTTGCCCTTTCTTATCAACATCTTGTTGAGAAGTTTTGCCCCCTCTCTCTTCCCTCCCTAGGAGTTTTAGTCTACTTGGTTTTCCTTTCGACCTTGAGGACTCGACACCATTAGCTTTAAAATATTTTTTGAACTTTCATGCAAGTTAAGCTATGTCCTCTTCTCCTAATAGAGGGTGACTCGAATTTACCTTTATTTATTTTTTGAGTTTAGTTAAATTTTTAAAATTTACATATTGCATGTCTTGCCAAATGTCCGATAATTAATCTACAATAAGATGGATTTTACCTTTTGATCTGATATGACTTGATGCATGGTGAGGCTTGGTATTCATTCATATAATATAAAAAATATTCTTTATTTTTCTGAATAATTACAACTAATTTTATTTTTAATTTCATTTAATTATCTTCACTCGTTAAAGTGTATATGCCATTCGGTTGACCATGTTGGAGAAATCCATGGATTTGTTTTCGTTTCATTTTGTACAAAACATTTTGGTATTTCAACCTATTGAAACACAATAGTGGTATGTTTCGAAATGTTTCGGTTTTTCAATCTTTTGAAACGCAATAGTGGTATGTTTCATCACTTTTTGAAGAAATAATAAACGAAAACATTCGAAATCAGTGAGTTATAAAACTCAAGTCGTATGACGTGCAAATGAATTATGTCATATTGTCAACCAAATGATGTCAGAGAATTCAGACCAAAGATTCATTGGGTTGCTCACACCTGAATCACATACAAATCATGTGTAACCATGAGTTCTTAACTTCATTTTGAAGCACAAGTTTCTAAACATTTACTTGGTGATGTTGGGATAATTAGGGTTTGGGTTTGTACTACTCCTTACCACGTGTTGAAGGGATATAGAATTTATCGGTTAACTTTCTTTTGGAAACAAATTAGACATAACCGGTGGGCCATAAATTCTTTTCTTTGAGCCGAATTGGTTTTGTGAATTGAATCTTTTTGATTAATTTGCAAAATGGTGCATGTATTATTTTTGGTCTTTCTTTAATGCTTCTAAGAATTTTTCATCATTTCTTCAAATTTAAAAATTTGAAAAATTTCTATTTTTGACTAATGGAAACATATGTTACAAGCAAAACTTTGGACAACGGAGAAATCTACCCAATCTATCACAAGTGGGCAGATTCCAATCCCTAACCATGGTGGTCACGTGTCACTGGCTACTAAATTACCATTTTGCCTTTTCCTCGCTAATGTATTTCCCTCACAATCACAAAATTGCTCTCCTCTGTCTCTCTGCCACACCAACGCTCTGTGATCGACCGCCTCAACTTCTCTCTCTCTCTTGCTCTCTCTCCCTCCCTACAATTCGAATGCAGAACCCGTCTCCTCCATCCTAGCCTCCGCGACTCTGAGGTTCCGATGCCCTGACATCACCGTCGCCGGGAACCACTTACAGTCCGTTCCCCGGCGGGGTAGCCAGCCTCGGCTTATTTGCAGCCTCTTGCTTGGAATCTTTTAACCTTGGTTTGGGTCTGATCAGATTCTGAATATAAAGACGACGTTTTTTGTGTAGATTGTAGGGTTTTTGTCTGCGCCATGGCTCCTCCTCGTAAACGTGGAGCAAAAGGAGCGAAGACCAAGAGTGAGTTGAGTTTGGGCGATCTTGTCCTCGCCAAGGTCAAAGGCTTCCCTCCTTGGCCTGCCAAGGTTTGTACATGCCTCCTTAATTGTTCATCAACAGTGTTAGGATTCCATTGTTGTATTCAGGCATTCCTCTTTTTTTTAAGGACCTCAATTCGCTACTGTTTCATCACATCAATTGAGTCTCTATATGTTTTCTTGACTATTTTTTTGATTGGTTGTTTGGTATTTACTTGACAATTGATAATCCTTTTGATTGTTCTTTCACTGAGTTTATATATTGACTTTTTATACATTAGAATTGTTGAGTTTCTGCATATGCTTTGGTGGTTTCGTAATTATTGTAATTTTTAAGTAATTAGTTCTTGTTTAAGGAAGTTTCTTTTGACAACCCATTTCGATTAACTTCCTTGAACTTGTTGGATGAATCAATGCAGAGGCTTTTGATTTGCGTTTTTGTGAATCCTGTAGTGATTATTGCCTAATATGTGATAGGATTGCTCAGTAGTTGCTGAATTAATCCTAGAGATGATGTAAATTGGGGGTTAAAAATGTTTTTTTAGTGACCAGTGTTTTTTGACATTAGTGAGCCTACTTACGATTTTGGTCTGTAGTCTTGAGTAGTGGATTAATCAATTTAGACGCTTTTGAGTTGTGTGTGAGCATGCACGAACTTGCAGATCTTGTACTAATTAATGTGTAAAATGTTATGGGACTGTTCAGAAATTGCTAACTCAATTGAAAAGGTGATGTAAATTAGGTTTAAAAAGGTTTTTCAGTGATGAGTGTGGTTTGACTTTAGTGTGTTTACTAAAGCATTTTAGTCTATAGTACTGTTGTAGGACGCTGTAATACTTGAGTAGCCATCGAGTTTAGGAGCCCTAGCCCAGTGTGTTTGCAAATTATGACATTGGTAATGACCTAGTGAGTGCATGTCATTGAGAAAAAGAGGGGCAGGGGACTTAGTGTTTCTTGTGGTGTTCTCTTCTTTGGCCAAAAAGAATATCTAGAACTTTCCATTGAACTAGCTGCATGATTTGATTTTTTGGGCCTACTTGCAGTTTTGCATTTGTCTTTATTACTTTAGTCAAGTTCTCAAACTAAAAAAGGGGAAGAAGGAAGATGATTTTATTAATAATTGAGATGATTGTAGATTGTGTGATGGGTGCATTTGTGTGCATGTGTGAGATATTTGCTGTTGTTGCATATACATATGACATTTTTTAATGTATTATGTGCTACATTTTATGGTTTTTGCACAATAGAAAGATTAATGTAAACTTTGTGTCAGATGGATTTATTTCTGCACCTTTTCTTTGCATTCCAAGCTTGTTAGATTAGGTATTGAGCAACTGTAAACTTTATTTTATTGGTGCTTTGTGCTTTTATTTTATTAGGATTTTATTGTTGTTGCTTGCATCGTTTTGTTATATAATATAGATACATTTTCTATGTAGTTAATTGTTTTGCTTATGAGACAATTTTTTTTGTGGGCATGAATTTTCACAGATTAGCAGAGCGGAAGATTGGGAGAGAACCCCTGATCCTAAAAAATATTTTGTCCAGTTCTTTGGTACTGCAGAGATGTAAGTTTCATTAGACTTTTCCATGTTTTTCATGTGAATCAAGTGTTTGTGCATGAATGTATGGTTTTCATTTTTTTGGTAACGAAGGAAAGCATAAATTAGGTAAAAAATTTGGCTCGTAGAATATATGCTTTCTTAATGTATAACATAATCAATTTACTATGCTGTTATTTTTTAGTTTTGGGTGGTACCAGTGAAAACATAGACTAGTTAGAAAGGACAATTGCTTAGTAGGTTTTTGTAATTGAAAATGATTTGTTGTGGGATAGAGGAAAGTTTTTGGCATCTTTATAGGCTGTTGTTACTAAAGAGTTTCAAGATATTTCTCTATCCGCTCTTCAACACAATTGGAAAGCTATATGTATTTCTTAATTTTTTTTTCCTTTAATTTTGCTCTTTTAGGTGGGTTCCTTGCCCAATATTTATGTAAACTTCTTATTATTCTTTTAATGAAGTGTTGTTTCTTATAAAAAAAAAAAGAAATTGAAAACTTGTTTTTTATTGAGTCTGGTGAGAATGAATGGGCTCCTCATGGGACCATGACCACTGTAAGACTTCTTGGCTCTTTGGAAAGAACTTTGAGGTTTATAGAAAGGACTTCATGATCGAGTCTTGCAGATCTTACAATAAATTACACTGACAACTGGCCATCTGGTGAATGCACAAGATGTTTGTTGACCTTTTAGGGTTACAAACCTCAGAAGAGCTATAGGATCATTAGACTTTAGGCTAGTATGTGTGGCTTTTATAATGAAACACGGTGTGAGGTTGCAAGTGTTATTAAAAGTATTCCTAGGCACTAAGGAGTGTGAAGTGTTGGAAGCACAACAATAATGATTGCTGTTGCACTACATAACACAATCATGTGCATGTCTCCGTGTGCTTTGTCCAGGCACGACGTTCAGAAAAGCACATTGTTGTAACTTGTTTAGAATTGTTTCACATTACTAATACCTATGCTTTGGAGGCATCTTGCTCCATAACAATTCTTTTTATGTTGAACATCTTTTTTGTGTTTATTGGGAGGAGAATGGACCTTTTGAGTTTGGAAAGTGCTACTCATTAGGTTAAGGCATGGTATCAAGATTATTACAAAATGTCATCTTTTGGATTGTTTAATGGTATTTTATATTGTGGTCTTCAATATGTGAGTTGGGAAGTGAATTTATGAGATGGAAGTGGGAACCATAGCTTTTAAAAAATAGGAAACTTATTAAGGATATCTACCTATAACTGATATTCAAATGTATAGTGACATCTACCCTTTTGAAACGTTGGGTGGGGAGAATTTCGAGAAATAGGGGGGACTTTGATACCTTAGTTAGGGAAATTGCACACATGATCCAATTTTACACGAGATTGTGTATAAAAGATTGGATAGATCCAAGGATCAAAATGTTGTGTCGACACATCCGAAACGTCCGAAACGTTTCGGAATTTCAACACTCCGAAACAAAACAGTAGTTGAATCACAAAATTCCAGTGTTTCGGTCGAAACGGTACTGTTTCGGACCGCTTCGACAAAATAGTGATATATTCAGTTCATTATGAATAATTACATTTAATACCCCATTATAATTACATTTAATACCCACTGTAATTACATTTAATACTCACTATAATTATATTTAATATCCCACTATAATTACATTTAATTCCCACTGCTCTTCTGTCTTTTATAATTTTTTTGTTATAAGAATAAATAATTAAACTTAATACCCTACTATAATTATATTTAATACCCATTATAATTATATTTAATACCTACTGTAATTATATTTAATACCTTACTGCTGTGCAAGTTTTTTGCTTTTTTTTTTTTGTTATAAGTATTAACAATTACATTTAATACCCTAATGTAATTATATTTAATACCCACTGCAATTACATTTAATATCCACTGTAATTACATTTAATTTTTAAGTATACATAAGTATCATTAATTTAATTTGATACCCTTCATTATTAGTATTATAATAAAATAGTATTATTAATTGGATAATATTACCGTAATAATATGATTTGGAGTAACTATTGTCATCATATTTATGTCACATATGGAGTTTCTCTAAGTAGCTACCCAGAGCTTACACCGATGTATGAACCTGCTCGACACTCCACAGGGGATGGATGTAACCATGTAAGTATGTACTCATTAGCATTTCATGTGTATTACAAGACCTTAATATTATGTAAAAATGTGTTTATTTCATAAAAATTAAGTATTTGAAACTAATTTAAGTGACTTTTGCCTCATGTCAAGCATTTTTTTCCCTCAAATTTAAATTTATTCTTGTATAAATTGATGTTAACCTAATAAATATATTGAATTAATCAATTATTTAGCATATCTTTATAAATTAATGGATTGTATTTGTGTTTCTATGCGTTTCCATATTTTTTCTGCGTTTCCATTGCGTTTCCGAAACGTTTCTATTTTTGAGTTGACCGAAACGGTACTTCGAAACGAAATTTTGATCCTTGGATAGATCCCTTTTTTCATTAGGTTGAGAAGACTATTTTCTGGGGTTTAGACAAGAAGCTTTGTCTATAGTAGCATACTAGCATTTGATCACTATCCTACTCCTCTTGAGACATCAACGGTGAATGGGGTTATGTGTCTTTCGATGTTTGGAAATATTTCATTGGAAGATAAGGATTGTGGGATGAAGGTGAAGGAGTGGGGGATAGAGGGGAGTTTTCAAGTATGAGAAGGGTTTAAGTTTATTAAAGGATTTGATTTTAATAACATAAGGTGTGGAACAAAGAGGAGTTTGGTTATGTTCGGTTTATTAAAAGGGTAATATCTGAAAGGATTGAGAAGGATGATGGATTAAAAGGGAATTAGTTGAGGAATTGAGGAAGGAGAGGTGGAACCATAGGAAAAAATTTGAGGTATTTTTTTTAAAATGAAATAAGTTGGAGACAAAAAACACTAGATTGAAATGGTTGAGAGGAGGCGATGGTAACTAAAGTTTTTTCATAGAGTGACAAACGAAAACAAATGGGAACAAATCTTTAATAAGCTGAGTCTTGATTACTGTCCCATTCATGGGGGAAACTAGTTGCATGGAAATGCCTTTTGAGGAGGAGGAAATAAAAAGAGTGGGTTTTTGATGTAGTAAAAAGAAATCTCATGGTTTGGATGGTTCTTCCATGCCAATTAAAGTGTTTGAGGAATTTTTCCAAAATGGTGTGGGAACGCCATTAGAAATGTCACTTTGATATATCTCATTCTAAAAAAAGAGAACTCTTTGAAATTGAATGATTTTAGACCAATTAGCTTGGTAACAAGCCTTTATAAGATTGGTGCTAATGTTTTATCGGTTAGGCTTAGGGAGGTTTGAACGAGACAATAACAGATGTTGGATGTGGCTCTTGTGCCTAATGAAGTAGTTGTAGGAAGGAGGGCATTGTTCTCAAACATGATTTTGGGGAAGTGGATGACCATGTGGATTGAAACTTTTTAGATTTTGGAGGCTAAGGGCATCAGAGAAAGATGAAGTAGATGAGGGGTTTTTTTGCGGTCAATGAACATTTTTGTTATTCTAGAAGGTAAACCAAGGGGTAAGTTTAACACATTTAGAGGCTTAGGCAAGGGAATTCATTGTCATTTTTTTGTTTAGTATAGTGGTGGATGGTTTGAGGAGGCTTGTGATGAGGGCATAGAGGTGTAATTTGGTTGAAGGCTTTGCTTTTGAGAGGGGGACCATTTCAATTTTTCTTTAGTAATTTGCCAATGATAATGCTGTATTCATTTCCTTGGTGGAAGAAAATAAGATGAATTTTGGAACCTTAAGAAAATTTTGGATGTATTTGGTGTGACTTCTTTGCTCAAGTTTAGGATGGATAAAAGCATGATTGTTGGAATAAATTTTAGTGACCATAAGATTGTTATGCTGGCTTCGGAGTTGGGGTGTTGTGGGTAGCCTCTTTAGAATTTAGGCCTTCCATTGGGGTAAACTGCTGTCCTTAGCCTTTTGGGTCATGTTATTGTGAAAGTTGGGAAAAGATTTGAAGGGTGGAAGAAAGCCTTTGTTTTAGGGGGAGGGGACATTTAACATTAGTCCAGTCTGTATTGGCTAGTATTCTCGCCTATTTCTTCTCTCTATATAATACTCTATATAACATGACTAGATTGAGGGATGATAAGAGAGATTTATTGTGGGGAGGGGAGTGGTGAGAGAAAAAAGGATCATTGATTAGTTGGGAGTTGGTGTCTGGGCCTAGAGAAAAAAGTGGTCTCACATTGTGGAATTTGTTGGATAGAAATGTACTCTTTGTTGGAAAATGATTTTGGAGATTTGTTTTTAGTGCAACATTCACTATAGCACTATGTTATTCGAAGCAGACATTGTAATTACCAACCTATGTTTGAGATTCTAATGTGGTTGAAAGACAAAATTTGTAAAACTCTTGCAAATTTATTTCGCAAGGATTATCTTATTTTTCTCAAAAAGTTTTCTTGTAGGAAATAGGGAGAGAGTTTGTTTCTAGGAGGATACTTGGTTTGAGGAGGCTTCGTTCTCATGTTTGCTTCCCAACTCTATCATCTATCTTGTGATCATGATGCTTGTATTGCCTTTTTGGTTAGGTCCAATTTGTATCCACTTATTGGGATTTTAGCTTTACTAGAAATCTTAGATTAGTTGGTGCTTCTTTCCTTTGTTCACAATATTACTTTGAACTTGAATACTCGGATAGATGATGTTGGTTCATTAATCCAATGGGTTTCTTCTCTTGGGAATCATTCTTTGAGTTTTTGATTGATGATTCTTAGCTTCCTCTCTTTCACTCGTCACTGAGATTGAGAAGCTAAAGTGCCTTTAAAAGTATAAGTGTGTGCATGACCAATTGCTCACGGTAAAATTAATAGTAAAAGTGTGTTAAAAAAGAAGTTTTTTTTTTGATTTATTGACACAGTGACGTATTATGTGTTGAGGTGATGGCGAGAGCATGCCTCATATATTTGATTTTTTTAGATAAAATTAGAATTTTATTAAGGTTGAGAAGAGATAAAAAAATTTCAATATGGAGGACAAGATATCCTTCCAAAGTAAAAACATAAAAAACCAAAAAAGAAAAAAAAAAAAAAAATTAAACCAGAGCTGCATTCCAATCCTTTTGAAGATCCGCCACAGGTAAACCTCTGAACTTTGTTGCGGACTTAGACCATAAAGAGGCATGAAATACAATTCCGTCCCAAACTAAAGGCAATGTAAGGAATTGATTTTTGAATATTCTTGAGTACCTTTTTGTCAAAATATTCCAAAAAATCGGCAATCAAAGCACAACTCCGTAAAACCTTGCCTTTTTTACTCCTCCCAAATCCTCTAAATTTAGTTTGTAGCATTTCCTCCACATAAGCTGGACAAACCTCTGCGTCTCCATACACATTAAACAAGTTGTTTCACAATCCCCAAGCAAAATAAAACAATGAATAAATAATGGCCATTGGACTCTTCATGTCTCATGCAAGTGGAACATACATTAGGTCTCAAATCTTTGTAAGGTCGTCTCACTTGCAACATGTCATTAGTATTCACTCTATTGAGCACCATAGATCAAACAAAAGCCTTTATTTTAGAATGACTCTTTACCTTCCAAAAGAACTTATCAAAAGAAAAAGAATGGACCGTATGGGGACTAACAAGATAGGAGTGAAAAGATTTACAAGAGAAAATGCCTTGATCATCCTTAATCCAAATTCTACAATTAGGAAAGTATTAGGATGGAAATTTTGAAGAATAAGAAGTAAAGATGTCAAATCCTATGCTTCTCTATTTTTTAGACTCCATAAGAAATTTAGCATTTATTTGTGCATTGTTCTATTGCTTTAACTTCGTGGAACAGGTTATTTGAGTTGGTAGGAGTTTGTTGGGTGCCCGTGCTTCATGTCATTTTTGCTTTGGGTGGATGTTAAAGGTATTGTAGGGGGTACAAGAGGCGTTACTTGCTGGAGCTGCGCTTTTCAAGCCATTGTTTTGGTTATTTAGTAGAAAAGGAACTCGAGATTTTTTGAGACCAAAAGTGAAGTGGTGTAAGGATCATGGTCTATTTCTTGGCTTCTTTTTGGCCTCTGTTTCGAAAGGTTTCAAGAATATCCCTATGTTTGGTATTATTGCAAGTTGGAATACGTGATATGGCATATGATGTGGTTTTTTGTTCCTAGTAGTGCCATGTACCAATTTGTTGCAGAGTGTCAAGGGGAAACTACTCTAATGAAGAAAGTCACGTGTCTCATGTTTATGCCTTTTGTTTCCTGGTTGGATGCTTTATTCACCTTTATCTCGGATCATATGACTTATTATTGTATTATCAATAAAATTCTGTTCCTGATAAAAAAAAAACGTGTGTAGGGCATTTATCTTTCTTTTCACCATGATAGACTGACATTGAACACTTGATTAATATCTGGAATCCAAACAAAAAAATGGAATTGATTAATTTTAAACTTTTGCATTTTTGTGAAATGAGGGTAGCTCCTTGCAGTGGGACCCCTCGAAAGGGTTGAACAACATTAGAATGTTTGGATTAACTCTCATTTCGGTACATTCCGTAAATATATTGGGATATTTGATGTGGGTTTGTGCTTCTGAGTGTAAGACATCAAGCAAACATTTTCTGACAATCTGAGTGGATATCAGCAGAGAAAGAAAGAAATATGGTGTATTTAAATGTCACAGGTAAAGTTGTGTGTTGTTTTGAGGTCATCGGTTACTCTATCTGATTCGCCATTACCTTAATGGGTTGTTCTATATTTTGCCTTGCATCTGTAATTGCGATTTTGTTAGATCTCTTTACTGGATTCTTATATCGTTTATCTTTCATATCTCTTGTCAAGCAGCATAGGAAGCAATGAATTACCAAGTTAGTTGTATTAAAGTTGCCATGTTTCTTAATGCCAACTTGAAGAAATGCTTTATTTGCTGTTCCGCTCTTATTGTGAGGTCATTTACCACTGCATATATGCTATTGCCAGATATATTAACTTTACATAATTCTTCTTGGTTCATGGACATTCATTCTAGTTCTTGGCAATTCATATTTGGGATGGAGTTTCCTGATCTATTCCTTATTGTATACACGTGTCTGCATCTGTTTATAAAACCTGACAAATTGGCATTTTAGATGCTTGTGGCATCCTTGGAGCTTTGCAATGATAACCATTCTGTTGTAATCTTCCTTTTACGCGGTCATACTTTTTTATCTCTACCGAAAAAATTATGTTGATCTTGCCTGGCCAGTGAGTGGCTTTTAACCTCGTGACATTTTTGTATTACTACGGTTCTGTGGGTAAAAGTATAATCCTGTATCTTTTGTTCAAAAGATGATAGTGTAGTCCGTTTGTTTGTTTTGGTAGGTATGTTGTAACAATTGTGTATGCATTTATTTGGGTATCATGGAAATTAATGGCCAACTTCTGGAATTTTTTAATAAAATTTAGATTGTTATATAGCAGCATTATGTTTCTTTTTTGTTAGTTATGTTGATTTACTTTGTGGATTACCCATTGAATGCTTGTGGAATTTTGTTTTTATGTTTTTCGGAAATGATTTTCTCAATTAGTTCTCTTTTCCAGAGCTTTTGTTGCTCCTGCTGATATTCAGGCATTTACTAGCGAGGCAAAGAATAAATTGTCAGCCCGATGCCAAGGCAAGACCGTTAAATACTTTGCACAAGCTGTGAAGGAAATCTGTGAAGAATTTGGAGCTTTGCAGAAAAAGAATTCAAGTGGTGTAGGAGATGATTCAGACAGATCAACTCCTGGGTGTGATGCCCCCTCTGTTGATGGGGCAGTAGATAGTGCTGTAGAGGTTGACTTAAAAAATGGTATTGGGACAAATGAAACTAGGGGAGAAATAGAGGTTAAAGGCACTGGGTTGGAGCGCTGCTCACTACGACTAGGAGACATCAATTGGCAAGATATAAAACCTGCCATTTCAAGCAATGCTAATGATAGTTCGTCTCCAGTAACGTCCTCCAAAAAAAAGAATAAGCTTTGCAGTGACGGTGCTAAAATACCAAAGCTGGAGGTAGTATCAGGATCTAGTCCATGCAATTTTTCCTGTCCCAAGGAGGAAGTCTCTTGTGATAGTAATACTGAAGATACAAGGAATACGAGAACCCAACTTGGACATGTAAAGCATACTTTAGTCAGTTATGAAGTTTCACATCCTGCCAAAAGGTTGACAAGTTCAGACTTGGTGGACGATGCCACCCGGGGGTTACTCAAAACATACAGACAAAGTGATTGTCAAAGCCATAGTGTTGTTGAGGGCAAAGCAGATAACGCTGAGATTAAAAAGCCTGCACTGCGGGGGGAAGTTGAAAATCGCTTGGCATCCAGAGCACAGACAGGTAGTGTTGATGCCAATACTCCGAGTGATGAAGATGGTCTTCCCCCAACAAAGCGCCGTCGCTGGGCATTGGAGGCCACGTCTGGTTCTTCCACTTATGAAGGTAAAGCGGGAAAAGGTTCTGCTGCTTTTAGATCTGATTTGTCATGCTCAGGCAATGTTAAATCATCGGTTACTCCATTGCACACAAAGCGGAGAGCTGTTCGGCTATATGGTGGCGATGATGATGACGAGCCCAGAACTCCAATACATGCAGGATCTGTGAAGAAGGTTCATGCACATTCACATGTCTCAGAATATGTCAAGAACACTGATGCACATGTTGAGGGTTCTATACATGATCGGCCATGTGTAAGAGATTCAGGTATACTTGAGAATGGTCCTTCAAAGGAACTTATACCCCCTGCCAAACTGAATGGGTCTTCATCACCTAATCCTCAACAGACTGTAGAGAAGAGGCCTAAAAAGTCAACAGATTCACATGCCGTTCTTAGTCCAGGGAATTTGGGACCTGATAAAGTATCATCAGCAGAGGCTAAACCAGTTTTGTTTTCCCCTAATAATTCTCCCTTTGCCACAAAACCAGTATTTGAACCACATAAAGCCAATAAATCTTCAGCTAAGGTATCTGGTAGTGTTTCTCAGAAAAAGGTTCCAACTGGGCCTTATAAGGGATCTGAAGTGGTTTCTAACGCCTTGAATTATACTCGTAATCAAGCAACAATTGAAAAAAGTAAACCAATTTCTTCTGGGGAAAGACAAAAATCTACTCCAAAATCAAATTTACGGGTAAATGATTCTTCTCTTGTAGCTGGAAATCCAATGGAATGTAAATCACTATCCATTGACAGGTATGGTTTGATATTTTGTGCTCTATTTATTCTTTGTTTATAATTTATTTTTATGCCCATGATAATTTCTGCTGAATTCAGGCTGGAAGCCGGAAGAGAAGATAAGACAAGCTCAATGATTGACACGCAGATTTCAGACTCTGTTACATCTATGAAGCATCTCATAGCAGCTGCTCAGGCGAAAAGAAGACAAGCTCTTTCACAAAGTCTCTCTCATGGTAATGCTAGTTCTGTTTTCGTCCCCACTACCGACATAAGTGGCGGGAGCCCCAGCCCCGCCCCTGCTGTTCAGCGCCTTCAATCCAGCTCCAGCATTGTGGTCGAACCAGATAGTCAGGGATACTATCCTCATTCCTCTTTAGCTTCTCCATCTTCTCATGCTCGGCAGATTTCGTCAAACTATCAACCTGATAACGAAGAAATTGAGGAGAGAAGAGTTAGTTCAGGGCACCGGCCTGCTGGGGGTTCCCTTAGTGGTGGTACTGAGGCAGCTGTTGCTCGTGATGCTTTTGAAGGAATGATAGAGACACTGTCAAGGACCAAAGAAAGTATTGGGCGAGCAACCCGACTTGCAATTGATTGTGCAAAGTATGGCATTGCCAATGAGGTATGTATGGAATATGTTTACCTTTCTTTTCCGAGTGAGCTGTTTCGAACTGGTTCTTGCTGAGTAAGTGTCTAAAATTTGACTACAATTGGGCTTTGCAGTTTTTCATCTTACCTGTTCATCTTTTTCATCAATGATAGCTGAGAAATTCATTATTATTTAGTATTGGTTTTCCTACTAACTACTGTGAACCATGACTCTCACTACCACTCTTTTTAAATTTATGGGATAAAAGAATTAAGCAATTGTACTCTTTAAACTTGAAGGAACTGGAAAAGAGATGTAACTCCAATTCCAAAAGTCAGAAAAATTAAATTAATAATGATTAACAAAATGCCAAGATAATTCGTTTCATTCTTTTGATAGGTATCAAGGATTATTCATTTTGTTTTTCCTTAGAATTCGGCATTCTTTGTCATCTCCCATCAGAAGAACAAAGAAAAGGAAAGGAGTTATTCATATATTGTTCCTCTAGTTCAATTAGTTGGACTATTCGATATAAATATTTTTGAAATATTGTCATATTTGTCCTCTTCCATTTCTTTGGTTTTTACTTTTTTTTTTTTGGGAAAATTGTGAAAAGGCACACATTTTCATACTTATTTGTGTAAAAGTACCTTAATATAAAACATATGTGTATAAATACTTTTATGTGGAAATGTTTGGTGAATAGGTACACTTTTGCTGAAATGTAATTTTTTCTTTTACTAAATTGCCCCTTTCATTTGTTAATTGGAGACAAATATGACAGTTATATTAGGGATTCAGTTTCCTAATTCTATGCTATATATTTTTTGAATTTTAAATTACCTATTCATGTGTGAATGACCAACCGTTTATTCAAACATTTCATACCTATTCCTCTATCATTCAAACCTCTTCCTCTGTCATTTACTCCATTTCGTAACCAAACATGTTCCAGTTAATTGCAATGGAAGAAGTGCATCAGGTATGTCGTCCATGTGTTTTTTTTTTTAAATCATTACGGTCTCTTAACGTGAATCATGTTTATGTGGGGATAAATGTCAATGATGATAACTCAAATGGGGATGATCGTAATAATCAAGATGATTCTGATTTGGAGGATGATTTGCTGCCTCGCACGATAATGTCACAATGACAATGTCACACTGGTACTAGAAAATATCACACTACTACAAACCAAATTCACACTACTACAAATCAATGTCACATTACTACAAGTCAATGTCACATTGCATAGATTGACATGATGCATGACACAATGTATTTGACCTCTTTGATTTTTTTTTTTGGCAAATGATCAAACACTTGGTGTGCATGTAGTAACAACCACTAGAAGTAGAAAGGCAATTGAGTGACAAAAAGTAGATAAAATAAAAACGTTGAGAGAAACAACATTTTTCTTAAGTTATCAACTTATTTTCCAAAAATTTCAACGATTTTTTTCTTCAGCGATGAATTTTGGAATGATCGTCACCGTTTGATACGGATATTTTCCGTTATTCACAGTGAACCCATCAAAAACCCCTCACTTATTCAAAGGGATTTTCACATCCTATTCAGCGATCAACATGAAGTATTGAAAAGAAATGAGGTTTTAGGAAAGGTTTCTCACAAAATATCGGAAGAATGTATGTTTTCCGAAGAGATTTTCACTTATTCTGGGTGAAACAATCAAAAATTCGATTACTTGTGAATAGTGATATTCACTTCTTCAGGAACGATCAACAGGAAGTTTTGAAAATCCAAAAGGAAGTTTTATGGAAGTTTTTGGAAGAATGGGGTTTCCGGCGATATTGAAGGGATTTATGTGTAACAGTTGAGAGATGCCTTAAGTTTCGGTTGTGGAGGCAAAAATATAGGAATCAGTTCCCATTTTATTGAAGGGGGTATTTTAGAGATTTGTTAGGGGTTGTGTACTTTTTGACCTTTATTTTTAAATGTGGTATTTTTTGCCCTATAATTTCTAAAAAGGGTACCGGCCCGGCGGCCCCCTTAAAACCCCCTTTTTTTTTGTTTGGGGGGGGGGGGGGAGGGTTTTCTGGACCTTGTTTTGATATTTATTCTTTGTAGGCTCCTATTGTATATTTTGCTGTACATGAATTTTGCCTGCCCTTTCTGGCAGCCGTAATTAACTTCCTAGTCATAGGAAAAGTTGGAGAGCATAGGCCGCAGTGTAAATGCATACTTCTGTTCAACTAATGGAAGAGGCTAGACCAGTTTCTGCTCATCCCTGCATCCAGTATTGGTGGGACCGGTCAAATAGTGCGTACACCATTGATAATATTGGATCACATTCTGAATCATTGTGGTCCTAATATATGTATTAGGTGTTTAATGCCGTTCAAGGTCACCATCATTACACATTCATTGTTGGTCTGGTTGCTGGTCT